ATGCTGAAGTTTGACATTGCATGCCATTGTTGAGCCTGTTATCTACTACAGTAATACCCCCAGAACTTTTTTCATCCTGGCTTTTCCAGAGGTTCTCCCCCTAGCAAGTAATTTGTTGTCATATTTTTAGCCTCCAAGTGCATTACTTTACATTTTTCAACATGAAACCTCATTTGCCATGTCGTTGCTCACCCCATTATTTTAATGAACTCTTCTTGTAAAGTTTCTATATCTTGCTGTGAAATTATTGCCCTACTTAGCTTTGTATCGTCAGCAAACACTGAGATTGAGCTATTTATACCAACCTCTATATCATTTACGAAAATATTAAACAGAATTGGTCCCAGGACAGAGCCCTTGGGTACCCCACTTACCAATTCAGTCCAGTCTGAGTATTCGCTATTTATCACCCGTAGAACCTCTCTTGAATTTTATTGCTGTTTCTGTTGATGAGATTTTCCTTCCCTTGCTGTTCTGCAGATATAACTGTAAATATCAGATGAATGATCATCTGTTTTTTTGCATGCTAGTCTCATATTGAAAATAAAGAGGTTACTCAAGTTATGACAATTCTTGTACGACAGAATAAAAATTTGGAAGTGATGTAATGTATTGTATTTTCGGACAAAAACTGTACCGATTGGATGAAAATTGTACAAGCTGGTATCATACAGGAAATATTTTTGTGCTTGTCCCTTTGAATAATTTCAGTCAAAAGCTGTGTACTAAAGATCAGATTCTTGTAGGTGGTGTTTTTCATACAATTTTCTGATCGTGTGTATTAGGCTTAGTGAGAGGAAATTACTGGTAGATTCTCCTTGGCTTCTATTCAGGAAAAATAAAACTGGCTGCCATTTCACTATAAACACTCCTAAATATTACCTTAGGAAGAACAATCTAATAACACTGTACATTGAAGTCTACAGTGTTATTTCTTCTGGTACCTTACTGAATTCCTTTGTTGTTTGGCATAGCTAGCAACAATATACTGTATTTCAATTTTAACATGCAAAAAACCATACCTTTTGTGGTAAGGATATACCTTCTTTTGTATTTTGGATAACATCAGTATATGATAATGTGCAGATCACATACTGTATGTGTCATGTTTTACAGGATTTAATCATCAAAAAGTTAATTAGCTTGCAGGAGGCAAAATCAACAATCACGAATCAATCATCCAAACATCGCTCAAATTATCTACAGGCTAAGAAACAAGGTGAGTGGGGGACATGTGGAAAAGTTTTTATCCCAGGCTACTAATTTTGGCAATCTACTCATGCTGGCTGTGTGTTAAGCCATGCAAGGCTGGGTCAGCTTACCAGATGTTAATCATTATGTAGTACTTGGTGAAGGCAAAGAGCTGTTCTTTGAGATGGGCTTATACTTTTAGATTAATGGGACACACCAAGATCCCATAAAGTGTATGCTGATACCTTATTGTTAGCTGTGTTGTTGTATATTGCATATCATTATACACAGACTTACAGCAAGAAATTCGGAGATGAATTCTGGTATAAAGATAGTTCCTTTACTAACGCGTTCACAAGAAAATACATGTTAAAGAGTAACTACACTTAAACCTTAACACAATGACACCCAAATCCAACTTGACCCCCAACCTTCTCATCAAAGTGTATGCATAGCCACACGTTTAGATGGAACCTCTTTCAGGCTTTTATTGCTGTCTTTGTCCCTCTCTAATGGTGACAATTGCCTCTAATTGTGTAGCCATTCTGGTACATGTACAGATGAGACTATGGTTAATCCTTTTCACCCTAGTGCCCAGTACTGGGACTGCTACATCACTTCCTGTTAGCAGAAATTCCACAAGCAATGGAGCCAGAAGGTTAATCATAGCACCACATCCACCAAATTTATTATACAAGAAAAAAGAAAAAACGCTCCTGAAGAGCTTTGAAATTTAAAGGTGCAAAGTCATTCTAGAGATAACTGTAAAGTCCCAGCTCTTGAGGAGCATTTTTTGTCCTTTTTTCTTGTATATTCCTTTTAGCAGAGTGGATCTAGTTCTTCTCACAGCAGAGGATCTTGAGACCTGTAGTCCTATAGCCAATACATCATGTATTCCTATGTGCTGTGCTGATTGAACTACAACTACCAGAGAGCTGGCAAACCAAAAGGATGCTGGGAGAACAGATACATTCTACACTAAGGAACTAGCTCACTCTCTTGAAGTGGGATTTAGAGCTGAACTCAGGGGGACTGCAGTTCTCTTTCAGAGACAGATTGTTGGCCTATTACTGCAGGGCTCTGCACATCAATTCAGCACAGCGGTGATGCCAATTGCCATACTGGGATCACATCAGCTTCTCTGAATCTAGACAATCAGTGTCCGGTCTTCACACAGACATCTCTGCTCGATGCGCTGACAGGCCTTCAGGCATCAACTCTGCACATCACTGTAAAGAGCCCAGAGCATGTGCAAGAATTCTTGTTCCTAGGAGGCCGTTCTATCCATTGGATTAGTGAGCAGGCGGATGCCCAACCTCTTTCTAGCACCACTCTAGAGACTTTGCATGCAGACACCTTTACACCTCAGTATCAGGAGATCTTTGCTTTGAGCAGTACCACAGCTTGTTTAACTTCATTGAATTACCAGTATTCACTACTGTTTATGGGCCCTGCCATTACTAGCAGAAGACACCACCATATCAGGAACCTAAAACAACCTAAAAGTTGCAATCTCTAGTTAAAAGGACCTCTTATAAGGCCATTGTTATTCAAATTAGGGTACCTATATCTACTTATGTTAGAGTATGCATTTACATAATTCTATGCATCCACCACTGCAGCACTGGTGGCCTAGATGGAGCTGATAAGTCAACAATCCTTTTCTTTCCCCTATTACTGCTGGTGTTGCAGTTTACTAGTTGAAGCTTACTATTCATGACTGTTGTGGCAGAGCATCCCAAAGTAACCCTGGGAAAGTTCTGCTCAGAGTTTATAGATCTCCCAGGTTCCTTACCTTTAGGGATCTCTGATATGAGGTCCAGTGCAGGGTTTACCTCTCTCTCCATGGGCAATTAAATCCACCTGGGATCCACCTGTAGCTAGAGCTCTCGGTTTGGGGATCAGACAGTCCTGTCTAGAAAGATTGGTGGAAACGAACAAGCTGCGTGTGTTGCAGCTGACAAGCGGTAGGCTTGGTCATTCTGGTAGTTAGGACCTGCATCACTGTGTAGTGCCAGGACACAGCTCGGTTTTTGTTTGATATTTTCGTAGTCTCTTGCTTTTGCAGACTCCAGATCACAATAGGCCTTCTGTGATTCTCCAGTAAGTAGAGAGGTGACCAATCCGGCCCACTGGGTTTTTGTCCAACCTTCCCTCTCAGTGGTCCTTTCAAATGATAGCAATATGGCCTCTGGGTCATCATCTGCAGTCATCTTAGAAAGGAAGCGACCCACATGGATGGCTGAGGGCCTTTCTCCAACATCCTCACTTTTGGCAGGTGACCACTGCACCAGCATCTGCACAACCTCAGTCAGGGTTTTCCTATCCATTTCTGCAGCAGTGGCTAGCTGTTCAAACAGCCTCTGTGTTTGCCCCTGAACAGCACTAATCTGTTCACAGAGCACCCTTGTTTGCTCCTACACAATAGCATGCTTGCTGCTGTGCAGAATTAGATAGCACCAACTGTTTGAGGATTTCCTCCATGTTTTAGCCACTCTAGGTACTGGCCCTTTAAATAGCAGTTCCTTGCTTTGAGTGCCCGCATTCTCCACCATATGTGAGCTGGGGATAGGCAGCCAGGATATATGCTTCCTGGGGTAAGCAGTCTTTCAGGCACAGATACCAAATCCAGTGAGATTAGTGGCAAACAGTGAAGGTGTTTATTAGTGCTATTTACAAAACTATACTGTATACAAAGGGCTGTACAGTGTTTAACCAACATAAAACAGGGCAAGAAAATATCAAACAAAAACCTAGCCGTGTCCTGGCTCTCACTATACAGTAATGCAGGTCCTAACTACCAGACTGATCAAGCCTACCTCTTGTCAGCTACAACATACACAGCTTGTTAGTTTCCACCAACCTTTCAGCTCTCCAGACAGATCCCAGGTGGATTTAATTGCCCATGGAGAAAGGGGTAAACCCTGCACTGGACCTCATATTAGAGATCCCTATAGGTATAGGTAAGGAACCTGGGAGATCGATAAACCCCGAACAGGACTTTCCCAGGGTTCCTTTGGGATGCTCTGCCACACTGTATAATTTGTTAAACACTCGCAATTGGCTATGCCTACTTTACTAGTGTTCTATTCTTATGCGTTAACTGGGGTTGTATATCCTAAACCTACTCTTTAGTGGTACTCTTTTGAACAAGACTAATACAGAAAGAATTGTGTCTCATGCATTATTACCCTATACTGTTGAAATATGTCTGAACCCAGAGTGTCGGAGGTCGGGAGGCTTGCAAGGTCAGGGAAACCACTGGGAACAAGCATTATCAAGCGGCCCATAGTGCTACAAATGTTTAACCACTTGCCTACAGGGCATTTATACCCCCTTCCTGCCCAGGCCAGTTTTCAGCTTTCAGTGCTGTCACAATTTGAATTATAATTGCGCGGTCATGCGACACTGTACCCATATGAAATTTTTATCATTTTTTTGAGAAAGATAGAGCTTTCTTTTGGTGGTATTTAATCATCATTAATCACCAAAAACAACTGAAGATTTTGAAAAAAAAAAAAAAAAAACCCTGTTTTTTAAGTTTTTGTTATAACATTTTGTAAATAAGTGATTTTCTCCTTCACTGATGTGCGCTAATGTGGCTGCACTGATGGGCACTGATAGGTGGCACTGATGGGCATTGCTGATGAGGCACTAGTAGGTGGCACTGATGGGCATTGACAGGCATCACTGATGGGCACTGAAAGGCAGCACTCATATATGGCACTGATAGGCGGCACTGACTGGCACAGATAGGTGGCACTGACTGGCACTGTTAGGTGGCACTGACTGGCACTGTTAGGCGGCACTGATAGGCAGCACTGACGGGCACTGATAGGTGGCACTGATGCGCACTGATAGGCTTTACTGACTGGCAGTGCTAGGCGGCACTGACTGGCACTGATTGGCAGCACTGATAGGTGGCACTGACTTGCACTGATAGGTGACACTGAAAGGCAGCTCAGATGGGCACTGATATGTGGCATTGATGTGCACTGGTAGGCACTGATATGTGGCATTGATGAGGCACTGATGGGCACTGGCAGGTGGCATTGATGAGCACTGACAGCTGGCATTGATGGGCACTGACAAGTGGCACTGCTAGGGCTACACTGATCATCAGGGCACACTGATCATCAGTGCCCTGATGATCAGTGTACATGTCCTCTCTGTGGAATGCCGATTACCTGCTCTCCTCTCCTCTGAAGCTGTCCATGTGACAGCTTGTGAGGAGAGAAATTGCCGATAACTGGCATTTCCCTATTTACATGCGATCAGCTGTGATTGGACACAGCTGATCACATCACCGAGCCGACATATTCAGCTCTTTTCGTTGATCGGTGATCCTCTGTGTCCGAGGGACACAGCGCACCACCGATCGCCATGCTGCGAGCTCCCGGATCTGCGCATCTTATGACGTCCTCCCAGAACGAGAGAACTGCCTTGCGCCCGTCATTACCTTATATGGCGGGCGCGAGGCAGTTAAAGGGAGTCTTCAGTGTCCCCCTAGAAAATTTTAATTCAGCAGCTACAAATACTATAGCTACTAACTTTTAATATAAGGACACTTACCTTTCCAGGGATCCAGTGCTGTCCTCACCAGAGTTGGTTCTTTCTTCACCGGTCTTTGTATCCTCAGCACCGGCATGTGGAATCCAGATGTGAGTCCTGGCGGCTTGTGTGGAATGTGCGGTGAGTTGAACTGCACTTTGTGAATGGTCTTGCAGTCTTCTGGGACCTGTGACATGTTTCAAAAAGCTGTGAGCAAAGAGAGGGGGGCAAATCTTCCGCTTGGATCACTTAGGTGGTCTGAGTGGAAGTGGTCAAAACTAGGTACTCACTCCCCCAACAAAAAAAAAAGTGTTGGGGGTGTGGAGGCAGAAAAGTGGGACTGCCTCTTTTGGGTGAAGTTCCACTTTAAATTGTTACAGAAAGAGGAAGTTAGGGAAAATCTTCTGATTGACAAAGCCTGGTCACAGTAAACAGGGGGTATACCTAAATTTAAAAACAAGATCCACCATTACATCCTTTAATGTCTCTAAGACAGAAAATGAAGGGGAATCTCTCTGATGGGACACAGATAGCAAAAAAAACAGACAAATTAATAAAAAACAGTGCTCTTACTACAAATTATTCTACTCTAAAAAGTTTTAGCTTTACACTTTAAATTGTAGACCTTCGATACAGCCAAGTCAGAGTTCTCACTGCTTTGTCTGCTGTTGTATGATGTTGAACTCCAGCTGTGCAACACATGCTTTTTCTGGAAATAGTATATTATGATATATACATGTAAAATATTTCATATTTACCTCACTGAAAAATGTTGCATTTTTTAGTTCTAAACATTATAAATTATAAAAATACAAATTACAAACAAAAAACTTTATAAGGAACAAGGATGTTTTATTTAGTGTTACATGGCCCAGGTGCAGAAAAACTTCATTAATTAAACAACTCAGTGACAAATTCTTTTCGACCCTGCTACATTAGAGTTCCATAGCAGATGTAAATATTTCCAGCAATTTCAAACTAGAAAAAAAATTACTTTGTGTCCAATCCAGTGTAACATGGCCCTAAAACAAGATTCTTCAAGTTATAATGATCTCTTTGACAATTCAGCTCAAGCAATATTTTGTAATAGTCATCATTATTAAGGGCAATAATGAATTGCAGTCATCTGTAGAAGGAGCAGACATAAATAGATCCTCCTGATCCTAATGAGGATTTACTATTTTATAAAATCTATAACAAAGCTCCGATGTCAAGCAAGAAATCCTAAAAATATACAACTCTCAGCATTCTCAACAAGTTCTAAATGTTTATCTAATAACATTTGTCTTCAGAGGCCCAATGAATAAAAGACTATAAGGAATTACTCACTGTGTGAAAAAAAAGAAAAAAGAACTAAAAAATAGTTTTAGATCATTAAAATGCCATGTGTGAAATAAAACTACCTTGAATAATACAGAATGGAACCAGGGGTATATCATTACAGCAAGTGCTGTAATTTATTTTTGGAACCTAAAAAATATAAAGCAACTAAAATTTTAACCTACAGAATCCTGATCTTTGAGTAACTGAGTATTTATAAACTTCGAAAAGAAATTCAGATTTGCACAGGGTTAAATATGTGAGAAAAGTGAAAATGTGGCTTATTATTTTTATACAGTTCCAAGCACATTTTCCTTATTAACAGTTTGTCTGAACCCTTCTTTTGTTCTTCTTTTTCTGCAAGTAATTGTGTGTTCATGAACAAGATCATTTTCAATTGAGGTTTATGGAGTTTTGTGCACTATTATATAGCACTATTAAAAATAATAAAAATGCATCTCCCAATATCATACCTTAAAAAAGCACCCTGGAATATAAAAAAAGTGGTGAAAATGAATGGCCCGAAAGGACACACTGCACACATGCCATAGTCTTTGTACCCATGTTAGGAATCTCACAGACACACATAAACCTGAATAATCATTAAAAAAAAAAAAACAGAATTTAGACAAAGAGCTAACACTCCAAGCATTGTCTGAACCTATGCTAAACAAGACCTTCATTAAACCTCAATTGAACTTTCAGATGAACCCCTTCATGTCGACGTAAGACAAATATGCGGCCTCACAGAACTGGGCTTTTTTCTGTGGGGCCGCATATTTGCATACCTGTCTTTATGCTGGAAGCGCGGCACTCAATGTGCTCCCAGCACAAAACCAGGGTGGCACTGAGAGCCCCGGGTCCCGTTCTAACGACCGGGACCCAGGCCTCCCGATTCTGGGTCACATGATCGCTGTAATAGCCTCTGATTGGCTATCACTGTGATCAGTCACTGTACAGCCTGCCCACCTTGGTTTTTGTTTCCTCTATGAATGGAGGAGAGAGATATATTGTATCTCTCTCTCCTTGCATAGAGGAAAAAATACTAATTGTTAAAAAAGATAAATGAATATTAAAAAATAAAGAAAAAATTACCTAGATCAAGGTTTGATCTAGTTCAGTGCCAGGGTTAGTGTTTGGGTCAAGGTCAGGGTCAAAGGTCAGGATTTTTACTTTTCTCTAAAAAAAATTGGTGTCAGTGTCAGTTAGTGTCAGTGTGTTTTAGGTTACAAAAAAAAAAAGAAAAAAGAAAACGTGCACTGTTATTTCTGGGCTGTACTGTGGGTACAAACAACAAATAACATACAGATGTATGGTATCGCTGCAATCGTCAAGAGCTAGAAAATTTAGTTGTTCTTTGGTGGTAGGTTATGATAGTAACAAGAAACACACAGATACATTTTAAAAAATTATTTTTTTTTTACTTTTTTGGGCCATTTTTTTACTTTGATAATAAAAAAATCAGGAGATATCCATTACCATTTACCACGAAATGAAAGCACAATTTGTCCTGAAAAAAACAAGATAAAATTCACCTGGATGTACAACGTAGTTGGGATGATATGTACGGTTTTACTAACACATGTCAAAAGTTGCAAGATTGTTCTTAGGATTTGTTTTAGCCTTAGTCGTGAAGGGATTAAATTTCAGGTGCATCAGAACAAAAAGTATACTATATTTTACAGGTTATTTTCTTTCTAACGCAGCCACAGCCCATGTACACAAGCATGTCCTCCTGCAGCTGTCCAGTGTCACCTTTGCTTTCTGTAGTTGAGCAGTTTTCTATTTGCAGAGGTTCAGCATGCTACCTGTTGTGTCAGAACCAGTTGAGTCAGATGCCCTAATCTGCAGGGAACATAAGCTTTGCTGATTGCAGACCTATAGACAGGGCTGGTTGGCCTTAATGCCCAGCTGCCACACATGTGTAAATGGGGGTTTGAGTGCTGAGAGTGAGCTGTCTACAATGGCTGAGCTGCCACCTACAACTCTTGGTTTCTGTTATTGAAAGCCAGTGGGACAGACTCCCGATCAGGTGACTGCTGTGAGATACAATCCTAGTAATCATACGATCAGGAACCTCCAGGGGTTAAGACCCACTTCATTCAAAAACTCCTATCCATTACAGCCAAGGAAACTGGCTGCCATCTTAGTCTCTATTTAATCTGTAGCTGCCATGGTACCAATCAGATAAAATAAAATAGACAATATTGACTGAGAGTGTAAAGCAGCTAACACCAACAGGTAGTATACAAACCTAAATAGTAACTAAAACATAAAGTGTAGTGCCAAACTTATAATAAAACTGAAATATATCAAAACAAATAGATGTCCATGATATCACTGACCAGGAGTGAGAGCCTCACTCCTGGGGAACAGACAAGTCCTGTCTGAGAGAGCTACAAGTTTCCCAACCCTTATACAAAAGGAAGACTAACACAATTTCATGATTGATCAAAACTCTGTAAAAGACCATCATGAACCAGGGAATCAAGAAGGCAATTGAGCTTGACCAAACAAGACAAGGGGTCTTAGTGGCTGAGCAGGCAGGAACAGCAATATCATCTGATTGTGCCCGGCTAGACAGAATGGCACCCACCAACAGAGTCTCATGTCAAGATACATGTGCCTTTGGCATCTTTGTTTAAACACATGGGCATTTATGCTGTTGTAGTGGCAGCCATCATTTCTGGTGAGTCTTCAATTCACTGGGAGATGGTGACAGCAATTTTGAGTTGTATTGTTTTGCTGCAGGAAAGAGCACTTTATAGTGGTGGATGGACATTATTTAAAAAAATTTTTTTGCACTATTGTTTTTTGATATCACGTACATTTATTTGTTTTTATATATTTCAGTTTTATTATCATATGTTTGGCTTTATGTTTTATGTTCACTTTATGTTTTAGTTGCAATGGTGCTGCACATATACCCACTTATGACAACAGTGATTTGATAAATGTATAGAATGAGAATGGAGTATAGTCTGGAGAATGTGTCACAGTGCCCCTTATATTGCTGGCTAGTGAGAGGAATATATGCCACAACATCAGTAGGATGAAAAAATACCTGGTGTGAAAGTTAGTTGGAGTTCATTTGGAGGATAAAACACCCGGCATTGCTGTGAATGGTAGGAAAGATGCCCTAACTTAGTCAGTGGGGAAAACACAGATTCCTTGGGGGAAGGGGGGAACATTGGTGTCAGTGTAAAAAAATCTTGGTGCCAATGGAGGTATAAAATCATTGGTAATCATTGGAGGGGTGTACAGTGGTACAAAAGAAACAAAAAAAACTTATTGGTGTTCAGTGGGTTACTTACATGTACTCTGTGTCCCATACCACTATCTCATTCTATCTGTCTTCAGTACTGGAACTGTAAAAGCATGGTCAGGTATGAAATCACTCCACCCAACAACAACTGTATAGATTTGCTGCAAACTGCTAGTGTGCAAGACATGTCCTGGACCTGGG